TTCATTTATGGTTCCCTGTTATTGTACCTACATTTTATTGTTGTATGGTGCCTAGCACAGTGAGAAAGTCAGAAAAATTTTCAGAAGGGCTTCAATTAAAATAAAAATTTAAATTAAATTAATCGTCTAATAAAGTACTATTAGAAATAAAAATTAAGATTGTAAATAAACATTTTTTATACATAAAATATAGAATTAGAAAATTTTAAAGGGGTAAAATAATAAAATATTTGTGTCAAACTTAAAGAATATAAGTAAAAACTTTCGAAAATTAATGAGCATAAAACATAGAAATGAAAAATTAGGGGCGGGAGGAAGAAAAAATTGGGCAAAATAACAAACTTAAATAAGCTAGCTGAACCTGGGGGTTGTAGTCCCTTAGCTAGCTTTGTCTCTGTAACCACCGATTCTGTTTAGCATTTTTCTATTCATGTATTCATATATTTCTATTGAATATACATTTCGATTGAAATCATATATTACCCTTTTATTTGATAAAATCTTACCTAGTTCCAATTCCATCTCCCCCTTTTTTTTTTGTCCTTATTTTCCCCCCCTAGAAAATACAATATGTTATATTGAAATACTTTTTTTTTTCCAGATTGCTCTGATGAAATAATTTTCCTCAAATAATTTTCTATTTAAACATCTCTTTTCTTTACATATGTACTCTCTAATTAGTTTTCCATTTGATTCGTATTCACTAAAATTCTCATGCCATACTTATCTGTACATATATAATATTTGGCCGACATACATTTTGATACATATACTTTGTGTTAAGTCTTATATTTTTAAATGTGCTCCATATAAATAATTTATTTTCTAACATGACCTTTGAGTCATGTCATGAATATACCAACAGGAAAGTCTCCTATACAACAGATGAAGCTATTTCTTTATCGATGTGCCTGCATTTTTATTTTTTTTTCTTGCAATCCTCTAAAATATTACTTTTTCTCTTGCAATCTTTTAATATATATATATATATATAGACATATATATTCAAATTGTTCTAAAAGCTATTAGGAGGTGAGTCAATAATAGTTTAATACTTTAACACTCCTCCTCACGTGTGGACTGGATAATGGACAATTGTGTGGGTAAATTAATTAGAAAGCCCAACACGTGAAAATTTAAGTCCGAGATATATTAAAAACCCAACACATGATGACAATTTAAATAGGGATAAATAGTACAATTATGAGGGTTTAAACCCATGATCTCCTGCTCTGATACCATGTTAGTTTACCAATCCATCCCAAAAATTTAAGCTAAAAATTCAAACTGTTAGTAGGTGGGCCAACAATAACTTAATACTTTAATACAAATGTGGCTTTTATGTCGTACGTTCTCAGTTCATTTTGTATATACATATAAAAAAGAAGTAAAGAGCACTCAGTGGTAACTGCATCTTCACAACCTGATTATATATGAAACAACAACAGGTTGTACAATAAGCAATCAAATGACTTAGACACCGAGCAAAACCATTTATTAAAAGCCCAATTAATAGTTACATAATATGAAGAATATTCCTCAACAAAATATATAAGATATCAAAGATTTCAAATTCCTTGTCTCCTTGTTCAGCTCGATAGCCTCTATAACCTTCTCGGGTGGACAAGCCATGTGATTTCTGCAAAACTATTATAACAATTGGAAAGTGGGTCAGAAACGGATTGAGAACAACATTTTTTTTTTCATGCTGTAAATGGCCTGGTGGTATCACCAATTCCAATTGATCTTTAGCTTGAAGCTAGTGTCTTTATATCCATTTTTTTGGCAATAAATTAACATTTTAGCTTTGGTATTTCAAAAGTATGGAGGTGACTTGTCGGTTCATTCAATGGAACATAAATTATTGAACAAATTAGCCAAGAAGCCATTAGTTAATTAGTGATGGAAACACTCAAAGCCACTTAATTTATAAGATTGTGGTCGTCGGATACAGATTCTTTTTGCTATTGTTTTCAGCTTTCAATGTACAAGTAATTCAATAATGTCGTTTTTTTATTTTTTATTTTTTGCTCGAAATTCAATTATGTCGTATTCCTCATTAAAAATTATATATGATCACATGATTGCTGACTTTCATTATCATATATATTAATCATGCACATTGAGAAAGCAACCTAATAAAGAGGTAGTAGATTAATTTAATCTATACGAATTACGGTCACTAATATAAGATGAATCCCATGTGATTCTCAATTCAACATTTTTTATTATAAGGTGGATCTCAGATGTGATCCTAATAATGTCGGATCGAACATATTTTATTTGTAAATTAACAATTGGTGTCTAATGACATTTTTCAATGAAAATGTTGGGGTGGTCGTCATCATAAGTTCTTGGAGCCATCAATGATTTCCAGTTTTTCAAACCTGCAACAAAAGATTAAATTGAACTACCCGAATATACGTACGTACGTACATACATACATACATACATATATATATATATATATATGTATATAAACTTCACGTCTTTCATTCACTAAACTCTCAAATCCTCATCAACTTGTCTCCAAGAACATGTCTCCAACGATACCGTTAGCCATTCTTTTAGTCATTCTCGCAACCCTAATATTGTTCATAATTTTCCCACGCGCTGCCACCAAAAGCCACAGTAACCACGGCCGCGGCAAGCTTCCACCGGGCCCGACGCCGCTCCCAATCATCGGCAACCTCCACCAGCTAACCACGCTCCCACACCGCGGCCTCCAAAGCCTATCCAAAAAGTACGGACCAATCATGTCCCTACGCCTCGGCCAAGTCCAAGCCGTCGTCGTTTCCTCACCCGAAGCCGCCGAGCTCTTCCTCAAAACGCACGACACCGCTTTTGCCAGCCGCCCCAAGGTCCAAGCCTCCGAGTACATGTCGTACGGCACCAAGGGCATGGCCTTCACCGAGTACGGCCCCTACTGGCGCAACGTGAGGAAGCTTTGCACTCTTCAGCTCCTCAGCGCGTCGAAGATCGAGTCATTCACGGCATCGCGAGGGGAAGAGGTTGCGGCGCTCGTGGAGTCTCTTAGGGGGGCAGCGGCGGCGCGGGAGTTGGTGGACGTTAGTAGGAAGATTGGTGAGTTAATTGCTGTAGGATGATATTGGGGATAAATTTGGAGGACAGGTCTCACTTAAAGGAGCTTGTTCATGAGGTTTTGTGCTTGTGCGGAGCTTTCAATTTAGCTGATTATGTGCCTTATCTTGCGCCACTTGATCTTCAGGTCAGTTTTCGCTATTACTTATTTACTGTGTACTGTTTAATTCTGAGTGTGCTCAATTAATTATGATTTTTGTTCTCATTTTCTCTCTCTATTTATTAACTTAATTAACATATAGAGAGTAAATTCTAACAAAATGACGCAAAATAAAAGAGATGAGTTAGGGGGAGCATATCACCTAATTTTTAAGAAAAAGATAAAAAAATATTAATGGGCGGTGTTCTTGTAGATCAAAATATTTCATTTTCTTAATAATACAAGGAACGTAAATATTAAAATTTCGTTCATATATATATATATATATATATATATTTCTATAATTTATAAACTTAATTTATACTTAATTTATGATTTTTGGATTTGTCAGTGAAATCAGATTCTTATAAAATTAGTTGTTTTTGTTTTTACCCTACCTACCGCGTGCTGATTCACCTATTTTTATTTTGTTATTCATTCTTGGTAGTTGAAGTAATTGAAACAATAGCTCTTTTACATAATTCTTCCTTTTGCGACCAATGATTTTCGACTGTGTGGCTTAGGGGTATACAAGGCGCATGAAGAAAGTTAGCAAGGGCATTGACAAAGTGTTGGAGAAGATAATTATGGCGCATGAACAAGGGGCAAGTGAGGAAGGGCATCATCACAAGGATTTTGTGGATGTTTTGCTTTCGTTGGTAAACCAACCGATGAATCCCCAAGATCAACATGTCTACATAATTGATCGAACAAATATCAAAGCCATCTTACTAGACATGGTGGTGGCGGCCTTTGATACTTCAGCAACATCCATCGAATGGACACTCTCGGAAGTTTTAAAGAACCCTAGAGTGACGCAAAATCTTCAAGAAGAAGTAGAAAGAGTTACTGGGATGGACAAAATGGTAGAAGAGAGAGATTTGGAGAAGCTAGATTACTTAGATATGGTGGTGAAAGAGAGCTTTAGGCTACATCCAGTTGCACCTTTGCTAGTTCCTCGTGAGTCCATGGAGGACATTACCGTTGAAGGATACTTCATTCCCAAGAATTCGAGAATTATAGTGAACACTTGGACGATAGGAAGAGATCCAAATGTGTGGTCGGAGAATGTTGAAGAATTTTTCCCTGAAAGGTTCATCAATAGTAAAATAGATCTACGAGGTTACGACTTTCGACTTCTACCATTTGGGTCTGGCCGTAGAGGGTGCCCCGGAGCGCATTTGGGTATAGTTACTATTCAGCTTGTTCTTGCTCAATTGGTGCATTGCTTTAGTTGGGACCTTCCTAGTGGTGTAGAGACTAAGGACATTGACATGAGTGAGAAGTTTGGTCTATCAATGGGGAGAGAAAATCACTTGCTTGCGAAGCCAACCTACCGTCTCAATGCCAGAAGTATGTGAGACACATTAATTTCGGGAAGGGAAGAATATGGAGGATAGAGAGAATATATGTGTATATATTATTTTTAAGGTTGTAATCGGATCAATGAAAGTGAATATACACTTCTTTGTTTGTAATGTAAGTCTAAAGTACGTGAAAACTGAAAAAAGTAATTTTTTATTTCAGCTTTATTTACTCCTAAAAAAAAAAAACTACCATTTTATATGTTAATAATTCTGTAAAAATATCGGACATGCTTAAACAAATACACTTATATTAAAACTTACATATCTATTGCATTAAATTATATTTATTTAGTTAAAATTTTACCGTAGTAATCCCAAAAAAAAAAAAAAAGAAACCCTCGAAAACTATAGAACATTTTGAGACAGGTTCCTTGAGTAAATAGTTTTAGTGAAGATAAAATAAAAGGAAAAGTTGGCCCGTCATTCCATATTTCCATTCACATCATAAACGGCTACTATACGGTCAAAAATTCGAGACATGGAAGAAACGCAAACTTACATATAGAATACAAGTTGCACTGACTAAAAAATTTGTCTAATTATAACGCATCCTTCTATCCATATTATGACGCCAGGATTGATGAGGTAAAAATTTTAACATGGTTGCGCCGGTGAAGCGAAAATAAACCTGTAGCGTCGTTTTAACAGCACCTTCCTGATTTTGTTATCATGACTTCTCAACACTGGACGCAGCTTTTAGCTTCTCCAGCTGTTTCCGGAGATAGGCCTGTTTTAGTTTCTCGCGATGGGCAGCAGCCTGTTCTTGCCTGCGTAATTTGAGCTCAGATGCCTTTTCTCTCGCTCGATTCACTTCTTCGTGAACTTCCCTGTAGGAACCCACATTAAAACAATCATAAGAAAGCATGTAACGAAGATCGAATCAAGGAGGAGAAATCTAAATAGATAACCAGGAACACTAAGTTGCAGCAGTTGGGAACTTCAATTGTTTCACTGGAATTTGTTTTCCCAATCCACGACAATTGCCACTGATTTGGGCTCTACTGATTTTCTACAAAAACATTATATTGCCAGGAGATGCTATATCAGCTAGCGTTCAAAATTTTTGAGGAAATTGTATAATAAGCACAATTTTTCTCATAAAATATAAGTTGCTTGTGCAGTTATTTGAAGAGATAGTGAGAATCTTGCCCATGCATTCGTTGTTTCGCATCAAAGAATGCTTAACTGACTATTATTGCCCCATATTTCTTATCAGAGTATTACTTTTGTCCCAGCACGTAAAACAACTTGTGCTTTAGGTACAGAATAAATACATGGCATCATAATTTTTTAAAAAATATAATGCCAAATAGGGATGCCACACCATAAACCAGCGAAAGAAAACTGTATGTTAGATTAATAGAGACTCCAACTTTATCACCACAGTTTCATACTCAGTACGCAGCAACCCAGAAACACTGACACGGACCACTATAAGGTTCAATTGCAGTTCTAAGTTCATTTGATGGAATTATGTTATTCAATATTTAGGCACAAAGGAAGAATGAGTTTGAACAATTACCTCACAAAGCGCTTGTGTTCATTATTGTCCATTGTGGCAGCAGTTTGGCCAAGTCGCACAGATTTCATATTAAACAGCATGGGATCATCATTATCCTTATCTTCATTTTCTGGTGGTTCAGCGTCAGAAGAATCACGATGTTGCATCTTCTGCGACTCATCCTCCTCCAGCCTCTTGCCAAAGAAATCCACACAATACTTCTCCTTTTCTTCCTCATCAGACAGCTCACCCCTCGCTAGCTTCTCATATAACTCGGCCTTCCTCTCCAATGCGGCGTAGCTAGCTGATCCATCTTTTTCCGCTTTCAGCTGAAGCTTGTCCCTGAAACAACACGTGGATTCAATAAAAGTATTCCTTGAGACACTAAATACAAGAATGAAAAACATTTTACGCTAGTCGTTCAACTAAAACGAAAAAACAGTGACCTTGAACATTCATAGATGACTAGCTCAGAACTAAGAAAATTGACTTGCTTAAGATACTACAAGTCAATCATGTATCTCATATCAGCTTGACATACTTTGCAAAAAGAACTAATTGGGGCTAAGGCAATAATGTTCAAGACCAGAGAGAGAGTCACCGTTATAGGAACAAACAACAAAGAAAAAAAGAGCTCAAAACAGTTTTCATAGCTAAGCCTCAATAACTCATACATTTTTTTTTTTTGCTCAAAAAAATAAGCTTTACAATTACTAGCCAAAATGTTTTCTTTCTTTAAAAAAAATAAAAAATAAAAAGACAAATGCATGAAACAATATGGACTCTTCAAGTATTAAACCAATTGCGAAAAACCCATATCTACCAATTCAGTCAAATTGATGTTACATAGAAAACAGCCAGCCATTACAACTCGAAATAATTTCTTATCATGAGTAAAATTTGAAGCTTTACGAGCAACAAGATGAGGGGGAAATATATATATATATATATATATATATGTTGAAGACAATCAAGTAAAATAGGAAAGCAAATATTGTATATTAACTCAATTAGTTTGTTACCATCTTAGTAAAGTCAGAGCTAATTTCTAGGCATTAGAATAGGATCTAAATTGTATAGAATCGTGTATAAAGATGTATTCTTTTACTGTTGAAATACACAGCATATCATTTTTCACCAAAATACCTTCTTATTATGGTATCAGAGCATCGAATCTTGGTGGCCTGAAAACTCTGCCCATTACAGCAACTTTTCTTCCAATTGATCGTCCATTCCGATTAACAATATTCAAATCATGGGAGATCAGAACAACCCAAAGAAGCCAACTCAATCAAGCATGGCATCCAAACTTGACAATCCCAATCACCCACTGTATCTTCACCATTCAGATCAGCCTGGGTTGGTTCTTGTATCACAACTTCTCACTGAGGAGAACTATAGCACATGGAACCACTCCATGACTATGGCCTTAATGGTCAAAAACAAATTTGGCTTTGTTGACGGATTGATGAAACGACCAAACGATGATGCAGGGGACGAGTTACAGCAATGGATTCGTTGTGACAATCTTGTCAAGACTTGGATATTGAGTTCGATCTCCAAGGAAATTGCAGCCAGCGTGTTCTATTGTGATGGAGCACAAGCAGTTTGGAATGAGTTGCGAGAACGATTCTCTCAGGTAAACAGCGTCCAACTCTTTCATATTGAAAATGAGATACGTGACTGTGTTCAAGGGACCATGTCTGTTGGCCCCTACTTTACCAAACTCAAAGGATTATGGGATGAGAGGGATGTTCTTTTCCCTATTCCAGCCTGCCATTGTGGAACTATGAAGGAGGAGTTATCTTATCGAGAAACACAGAAAACCATAAAGTTTCTCATGGGATTAACTGAATCCTTTACCATGACACGCGGACAGGTGTTGATGATGGATCCTTTGCCCAAGGTCAGTAAGGCTTATTCTCTTGTTCTCAGACATGAACGACAACGAGATGTATCTGCAGGAAAGAGTACAGGTCAGCCTGAGGCAGCAGCATTTGCGGTCAAGGATTTAAACAAGAAAGGCAGTAATTACAAATGTGGAAAATGTGGAAAAGAAGGACATAGTGCAGAGAATTGTCGGGCACATTTAAACTGCACTTATTGTGGATGGAAGGGCCACACGATTGACTTCTGTCGAAAACTCAAGAAGGCAGAATCAGATTAATCATTCCAAACCTCCACAGCAAACCGAGGCAATCAATTTGCTGCTCCACAACAAGCCGAGAAGAATGAACTATCCAATTCCTTCCCTTTCACTCAAGAGCAGTGCCAACAAATCCTGCGTATGCTTAGCAACAACAAGTCTTCCATGGCAAATCACGTGGGTAATCCCTCAACTCATGATGAACTTTCAGGTAAAGCTCTTTGCTTTTCTTCTCAAGGTAAGAAAACCACATGGATCCTTAATAGTGGAGCAACTGATCATATCGTTTTTAGCCCTGAATTGCTCACAACTTCAAAGGCTGTTAAGAATAAAACAGTAGAACTACCGGATGGCTCTCTTGTAAATGTCACACATGTTGGTCAAGTTGTGTTCTCATCCAGTTTGGTTCTTGATAATGTTTTGTGTGTCCCAATCTTTCAATTAAACCTCATTTCCATAAGCAAACTTGCTCACTACTCCTTTTGTACGACCATATTCCTTACTCATTTTTGTGTGATACAGGACCTACACTCGGGGAAGATGATTGGGACAGGAACTGAACGGGAGGGACTCTACTACCTTGATCAACCACATAAAGCCTCATGCAATTCAATCATTTCCTCTTCATCCGTCCCCTGGCATCAACGCCTTGGCCATCCTTCAAATAAAGTATCTGTGTTATTCCCCTTTTTGGACAAGAATAAATTTTGCATTACCCATAATTGTTTGGTTTGTCCCTTAGCAAAACAAACCAGATTGCCTTTTTCCTCGAGTAAAATTTCTAGTCAATCATATTTTGAGAAATTACATGTTGATATTTGGGGTGGTTATCACGTTGCTTCTATTTCTGGGGCTCGGTATTTTCTCACCATAGTTGATGATTTTACTAGATGCACATGGGTTTACTTGATGCGTTACAAATCAGAAACTCCAATTCACCTAATAAATTTCATTAATATGGTTGAAACTCAATTCTCTTCCAAAGTTAAGGTTGTACGTAGTGATAATGGCCTTGAGTTTACACTTATAGACTATTATTTGTCCAAAGGGATTCTCCATCAAACTAGTTGTGTTGACACTCCGCAACAAAATGGTGTGGCTGAACGCAAACATAGACACTTGCTAAACATGGCACGAGCTTTGCTCTTTCAAGCCCATCTCCCAAAATTTTTTTAGGGGGATGCTATTTTGACTGCTGCATACCTTATAAACTGCACACCTACACCAGTTTTGCGAGGAAAAACACCTTATGAACGGCTCTTTAATTTAACACCCAATTACTCACATTTACGAGTATTTAGATGTTTGTGTTTTGCTTCCACTCATGCCCAAAAACCATCCAAATTTGACAAACGTGCTACCCGTTGCATTTTTCTTGGTTATCCTTATGAAAAAAAGGGATACCGAGTCTATGATCTTGAGCTTCGCAAGGTTTTTGTGTCTCGTGATGTTACTTTCTTCGAAAAAGAGTTTCCTTTTCAACACACTTCCACTGCCATTGAGAGTCCCATAATTCCTACTCCTAATGATTCTATTTTTCATGATGATCTTACCATACCACAAAGTCCCACTGAAACACCAGCACATACTCCATAAGAGAATCATGACCTTGAAAATAACTCTCATCATATGGTTTCTCCTAGTCTACCAACCCCTGCGCGTCGTCATTCCACAAGACCAACCAAACGACCTACTTTCCTTCAGAATTTTCATGTGGAAGCACCCCTCCCGTCTCGGCCTGGGCCATCATCTGCCTCTAACGTGGTCACCAATTCAGGTATGCCATACAGCCTGTCTCAAGTACTTTCCTATGATCGTTTATCTACCTCTCATAAAACTTTTGCCACCTCCTTAACCATTACAAAAGAACCAACTAGTTTCTTACAGGCCATGAAGGATCCTCAATGGCGCATAGCCATGCGCGATGAAATTCAAGCTCTCCAAGCAAACCATACATGGACACTTATGCCTCTCCCACCTGGCAAGAAACCCATAGGATGTAAATGGGTATACAAGGTGAAGCTTAAATCTGATGGAACCGTAGAGCGTTACAAGGCTCGTTTGGTTGCCAAAGGATATAGCCAGATTGAAGGACTTGATTATCGAGAGACTTTTGCCCCGGTTGCCAAGCTAGTTACTGTGCGTGTACTACTTAGTGTTTCTGCTATTCAAGGATGGCATCTTCACCAACTTGATGTCAACAATGCGTTCTTGCATGGTGATCTTGATGAAGATGTATACATGTCACTACCTCCTGGATTCGGACGAAAGGGGGAGACTCGAGTATGCAAACTTAATAAATCATTATATGGCTTGAAACAAGCTTCTAGACAATGGTTTTTGAAGCTATCTTTAGCCCTCAAGAGTGCTGGTTTTCAGCAATCAAAGGCAGACTACTCACTATTCGTCCGATCCTATAAAGGTAGTTTTACGACAATCCTTGTTTATGTTGATGATGTGATTTTAGCAGGCAACAATCTGCAACAAATTGAAGATTCAAAGCAGTTCTTATCCAAGCAATTCAAACTCAAGGATCTTGGTCAACTCAAATACTTCTTGGGCATCGAAGTGGCAAGATGCTCAAAAGGCATTTCTCTCTCTCAAAGGAAATATGCGTTGGAGATACTAGAAGATGTTGGATTTTTGGGAGCTAAACCAGCAAGGTTTCCTATGGACCAAAACTTGGCTCTTACACAATCCAATGGAGACCTTCTGAGTGATCCTTCGTTGTATAGGCGCCTTGTAAGAAGATTGATCTATTTGACCATCACTAGACCAGACTTGGTTTATGCTGTCCACGTTTTAAGTCAATTTATGGACAAACCACGTGTACCACATCTTGAGGCAACACATAGAGTCCTTAGATACTTGAAGCAAACACCAGGACAAGGTATTCTACTACCCACCACAAGTACACTTCAATTAAAGGCTTTTTGTGATGCGGATTGGGCACGCTGCAAAGACACAAGAAGATCTGTGACAGGGTATTGCGTATTTCTTGGACAATCACCCATTTCCTGGAAAACAAAGAAGCAGACTACGGTGGCTCGATCAACTGCCGAGGCAGAGTATCGCTCAATGGCCACTACATGTTGTGAAATTACTTGGTTAAAGAATGTTTTGAAGGACTTGGGAATCAAACATCTTCAACCGGTCATGTTGTTCTGTGATAACCAAGCTGCTTTACACATTGCCTCAAATCCGGTCTTCCATGAACGAACGAAGCATATCGAAATCGATTGTCACTTAGTTCGTGAGAAGGTTCAAGAGGGCTTGATCAAAACAGCACATGTGAGGACCAACAATCAAATTGCAGACTTATTCACTAAGGCGTTGAGTACATTACAGTTTGATACACTACTCAGCAAGTTGGGTGTTATTAACATACACTCCAACTTGAGGGGGAGTGTTGAAGACAATCAAGTAAAATAGGAAAGCAAATATTGTATATTAACTCAATTAGTTTGTTACCATCTTAGTAAAGTCAGAGCTAATTTATAGACATTAGAATATGATCTAAATTGTATAGAAACGTGTATCTAAATTGTATAGAATCGTGTATAAAGATGTATTTTTGTACTGTTGAAATACAAGCATATCATTTATATATATATATATATATATATATATATATATCTCGCAAATCAGAGGAGAAAAGAGATTCAGAGATTCTTCGACCACAATTTCCTATTTCCTACCAATCAAACAAAAATCTAGAGAGAGAGAGACAAGGGAGGTACTTGAGGGCACGGGCCTCGACGCCGGAGTTCTTGGCGGACAAGGGATCGTGAGGGGAGATTTTCTTCTTGGCGCGGTGGAATTCGACGTCGGGGCCGGCCAATTCCTTGGACTTCTTGGTGTCTTCCTGGGACTTGTAGAGCTGAGCCTTAAGCTCCATTATCGACGAAGCTCCGACGCCGGAGATTGCCCTGTGCTTCTTCGGCATGATGGAGGATTCCGTCAGCCATCCCAGGGACTCCACAACCACTCTCTTCTTCGTTTTCCCATCTTCCTCCCCCATTTTTCGCCTCTTCTTTCTTTTTCTGTTGAATTTCTATGGTTAGACTAAAAGAGAGAGCGGTTGATTTCCTTTTGTTGTGTTTTTCCGGGAATATGATTGTCCTGTTTCTGCGGAATTCGGAGTTCCCTTCTCGGAGACGAGGGATTTTCTAGCTGGGCTTACGCTTCGGGCGGTGACTTTGGGCTTGGGCTGGTCTGAGTCATTTTGGGCTCCGTCGGCCTCGCGGGTTTGAACCAAAAATTCCAAAAAGTACCCCTCAGTTTTAAGTAGATCTAATATTTTCCTCTGTATTTTTTGATAATCCAAAAGGTATTCCTTATGTTTTTAAATTATCTGAAAATCATACCATGATTTTTTTTAAATAACCCTTAAAATCGGTAAATTGTTGAAAATTACATAAATAACCTTAACGATTAATATTTAAACTTTATCCTAAAAACTAATAACTAAGAAACTAATACTACTCTGCAGTCATTTATACACGTTAGCTCTTTTATTTTCTTCATTTTATTTAGTTTTAAAATTTATTTTAAAAGTTCTGCATAATTAATGTCTAAAATAATATCTAAATAGTACTTATTGAGGTTATTTGTTGTATGTCCAAAATGATCAATTAAATGGTTATTTTTACTCTTTAGAAAAATATAGGGCATGATTTTAGGATAATCTAAAAAATTAAGGGATACTTTTTAGAATTTAAAAAACACAAGGGTAAATGTTGAAATTAGGTAAAACTTAGGTGGTACTTTTTGGATTTTCTCAGATAAATAGTATGGATTTTTTTTT